CCTGCCAGCGGACCCCACGCCACGTCTTCCCTTCCCCATCTCCCATTGGCCAATTTCAAATCTCGCGAGCGCCGCTTGCTCGGCTTCCAGCCCCCGGCCCGGGTGCCATGGCAACCACACTTGTTTAGCCTCACATTAGTGGGCGGCTCCCAGAAGTACTGTGGTGGGAAAGGCGGGAAGCGGGAGTCGCGAGGAGGTCCGTGGGGCTTGCGTGCCTTCCAGCGTGCGCGAGACGCCCAGTTAAACACCCCAGCTCCCTGACTGCGCACCCCACCCGCAATTACCCCCAAGACGGTCCTCCTCCTCCCACGGGCTCAGAACCCCCTGAAAGTTGGGACGACCCCCGGAGGCCTCCTGGCCTCCTCCTCTCCTCTCGCCCCTGCTTCCCCGACACTTCCTCTCATCCGCGCATCTTCGCTTTGGGAGAGGGAGTGGCAAGCAAGAGGTTGTAGAGGAAGCTGAACATCCCAGGCGGGGAGTGACTGGGCAAAGAAAAACGGGGAGGGAGAGGAGGCCGTGGGGAAAGTCTGACTAGCCGCAAGGGGTGACATCCCCTCGGGCCAAAGGGGCTGGGAACTGGGAGATGGACGACAGCATCCGGGGAGAAGAGACAACCTCCTTAAGGAGGCTGCATCTATGGGAAGGTAGGAGCGTAAAGAGGAAGCTGAGGCCCTCTGGCCACATGAGTTTTGAGGAAGAGGAAATTCCCTATGTGGGGAGGAGGGGAAATGGGCAACAGTGAAATCTTGTGGGAACTTTGGGGGAATTAAAAAGCCCAAATACTTCTGCTTTCCTCTCAAGGTCACCACCAGTTACCATTTTTTCACTCTGACCTACCAGTTCTTGGCTGTTCCACTAGACTCATTCCCCTGCCATCATCCCTGGCCACACATAGGTCCCCATGGCTGTCCAGGTTGGTGAGAATCTTCACTGGGTGATGTCAGAGCTTTGGGGACTGTGATTGTTATGTAACCATTACAGGTTACCAAAGTGCAGGAGGGGATCCTGGAGGGCTCCTGGACAGATCTAAAATGTACTTGGGAACTTGGAGGCCTCATCTCCAACTTTCTGGCTTCTGGGAAATGTGGGAGCCTGGAGGGCTGGGCGCCTATATCAGGGAAGAAAGCAGACTGTCATGCTAAGGGGACAGAGGCAGGAACTCAAATCTGAGAACAAGCAGAATATTAGGGGAGCAGGGTCAAGTGGAAGCCAGGGGGGGCAAGATGTGAGGTTTGGTCACCCACCCCTTAGAGAGTCAGGCCTCGGTGCCTTCTGAGGGGATAAGTAATGTTAAATTGATTGCCTTCCCCTGTTCTCTAAGCATTAGAGAGCCCTGCCTGCACTCTTAGGTCCCTGATTTACCTCTTTTATTTGGATTTCATTCCCATCTTTTCATCAATCACAGTAAGACATGTGATAAAAAGCCATAAGACTTTTTTTAGCTTTCTCCTCAAAAGAGGATATTGAGACTCCTAGGCAGGCTGTCACCATAAGGCTGTGTGCCAGCTGGTGACCAGGAACCTCCGGCAGGCCCTGTTCAGACTTCCTGGGTCGGCCTTAGAGCCAAAGGACTTGCCTCCTACATGGCACTTTGAGGGGTCCACCCCGGAGATGCAACTTCTGGGCTGTTCCAGGGAAGGGCCCGGGGCTGAGGATCCTGAAAGAGGTGGTTGTTCAGTGGCTTGAATGTGGTTTTAACGAGCTGGGTCCCGGCAGCGCTCAGACTGACCCACCATGGTTTGCATATCTCCTCAGAGCGCTGTGTGTTGGGAAAGCCCAGTCCTATAAAATTGAAAACAAAATGTTCCTGGGTTATTTATAAACGAAACCCAGACCCTGTTGTCTCTGTATGGCCACTTGATTTTCTCTAAGGAGCTCAAAGGGCTGGAAGAGGGGATCTTTCTCCCTCATGAGGCTCAAATGGGCGGATATTAGGTTCCCCAGTTTCACAGAGTTGGCACCTAGATCCTGGCAGCTTCCTTTTCTAGTAATGCCCCAGACTGGGAACATGGCCTAACTTTCTTTCGTTCTGTTTTTTGAGTAAAGTAGCTCTGTTGGATGAGAAAGTTGTGTGAACTGTGAATGAACCATTTCACTTTTGGTTTCTCTGTTTCACTTTCTGTCTTTGCCCGGGTCCCGGGGAAAAGATTGAGGGAAGGGTTCAGATATTTCCTTTTATCTCAGAAATGATGTCCACCCTGCACTCCCAGTATTTTTTCTTCTTTCAAATTCACGAACACACCTGCAAAACCCAGCCTCCTCAGAGACTGCACTCAGCCAGCAGAAAGGGGCCCCCTGCTTTCCCTCAGAGTCCCTTTTGCTCAGTCCCAGGAGGGCCTGGTCTAGAGAAGTATCTACCAGGCCTCTAAAAAAAAAAAAAAAAAAAAATGGGGTTTTTCTCCAAATATGGCAGAAAAATCACGCTGGGACAAACCAAAAACACATAGGTTTGTCTCTGGGATGAGGAGTGGTTCATTCTTTCCACTGAGAAAATTTGCATATTAGTGCAGCTTTTTGGTCTTGCAGTCACAAGAAATAGATTTGGCCAACAGATCAGTTTTGCCAAAACAAGGTAAAGAACTGGAGAGGCTGTTCCTCCGCAGGCCAGGGTCTCCAGTGCCGGCCAGAAGGGTGTCTACAGCCCATGAGGCCTCTTACTCTCCTAAAGAGGCACAGCAGTGGACATGGCCTGGCGCTAGGGATCCAGGAGAGTTGCTGGGCTCCAGAGGCCTCTGAGGGGTCCAGCAGCCGGGACAGGGTCTGGCTTGGAGGTGACAGAGTGTCAGGGCTGCTCAGGACTCTGCTTCCAAATCCCAGTGAGAAGAAGCCAGAGGCTCTGGGATGTTGAGTGTCTTCCTCGAAGTCACTGAGGCCGGATGAGAAGCGGAGCCTTTGGAATGTTAACACTGTACTCTTTTCACACTCGAACCATCTGAAGTCATAGGTTGGGCTGGAGGCACAGCCGAGGAAGAGGGTTTCAAGAGCCTTTCTCATGAAGCTGTAGCTCCTGCCCTGCATCTTGGGTCTCGTGGGAACCACTCCTGCGACTTTCCAGGATACAGTGCGCTTGTAAGAGCCACAGTGCTTTCCTGAGCTAAGCTGCACGGGCCTCTGAACACTTTTGATAGAAACCATATGCTGGGCTAGAGGACGCCACCCGCTGCCAGGCTTCCAAACTCTTCCAAACTTGTATCTTTAACTCTGTTGCGCTTGGCCCCATCTTGCAGGGGCTGTGGGGGCAGGAGCTGCAGCTGCAGCCAAGCCCAGGGTGCAGTGTTTACTCCGAACCCTGCAGCACACAGGCGCCACCCCAGCCCTGCCCTCCACGCCTTTGCTGTGGACACATTGCAGTCAGGACTCCACAGGGAGTGATTTATCACTGCACATGAGAATTCTGCCTCTACAGTAATACTACCAGGGATCCCCTGACAGGGTCTTGGAGTCCCCTTACTCTACATTGATGGAAATGGTGGGTGTAGCCCTGATGTACCGTGATATCAGCAGCCTGAGAGTGCACATGAGGTGTGTGGGTGTTGCTAAGGACCCGTGCTCTTAACCCTGCCTGTGCCAGGACAGCCACTTGCCCTCCTGACCTCTCCAGGCATGTCTTCCACTCCAGGTGCTCTCCCTCACCATGGCCTCTATCCCCTGTTCCCCCATGGCTGGAAAACAGCCTGAGCCTCACAGTAGGCCTTACAGGCTAGGGGCTAGAGAGTTATTTTGTCCCCAATCATGTGTCACACTAAATTACCAGGGCACAGATCCCAGGTCATCCTTAATGAGCCCATCCTCTGGCCTCTGGCCCAGGCCCTCACATCCACACCTCAGTGGGGGGTCATTGTGCCCAAAGTCACTCTTCAGTCCCCTCCACATAGACAGTCCATGAAGCTGTCTTGGCCAGTCAGTCTCTCACTCCCTCCTGGCCTGGCTGAAACATTCCCCTGACCTTTGTCTTCTCCATCCTGCCCTAAGTACAGGCAGTGGGGGTGGGTCATCTGAAAAGGGACTGGATGTTGAGGAGATGAGAGGGCCATATCCGCCCAAGCTCCATGTTCACTCTCAGAAGTACATGTTGTGGCTTCTCCGAGGGCAGGAATGCAATGAGACCCTTCTCAGAGCTGGGGCTGAGCCTCCGAGACCCTTCTCAGAGCTGGGGTTGAGCCTCCATCTGCTCATCAGCTTGGCCTCCTGCCCCTTGATTCCAAGAGCTCTCCCTGCAATACCCTCTTGCCCTTTGTAATTATTGGTAAGCAGAATTCTAAGATGTCCCCAAGATTCCCTACCCTGGTGTACACACCTGGTATAATGCCTGGGGTGATGAATATGGTGGGTTTACTCCTGTGATGTCAGTCATGTTTGATTGCACAGTTGACTTTGGATCAGGGATTATTGGAGTGGCCTGACCTTATCACAGGAACTCTAAATGCAGAGTTTACTCCGGCTGGCATCAGAGGACGGAAGTCAGAGATGCAAAGCGGCAGAGTCAGTGTGCCCTTGTTGACTTGAACCAGGAGGGGCCACATGAAAAGGAATGTGTGTGGTCTCTGGGAGCTGAGAACAGCCTTCACCTGACAACTGGCAAGGAAATGGGGATGTCAGTCCTACAGCTACAAGCACCTGAATTCTGCCGATCCAAGCCAACCATCAACAAGGAGTGTGGAAGCAGATTCCTTAGAGAGCCCGCAGAGGAGAACTGAGCCTGGTCAACACGTGATTTCAGCATTCCAGGCTTGGACTTGTGACCTTCAGATCCTGAGCTGAAAAATGGCTGTTGTTTCAAGCCACTAAGTTTGTGGCACAGGTATTCCTGGAGTTTTGAAAGATCACATTGCATCACTTCCTTTTTATGAAAGACCTACATTAGTGCCTGTTTTTGCTAACCAAAAGAAATCCAAAGAGATTTTCACTTTTACAAAAAAGTCGAAAATAGTGTTGTGTTTGTTTGGCAGTGAGCCATTACAGAGGCAGTGCGTGCTCCAAACAGCAAGACTGGCCCTGCTTTTACTACGTATTAGTGTTATTCTAGGTGTTATCTGTTAGTTGGTATGATTGGGAGGTTATTTTTTGGGTCTGGGACTGCTCAAAAATTTTTTCACAAAAATTAATGGTTATTGCAAAATTAAAAAAAAGATGAATGGTAATTGCTTCTTTGCTTTAGGCCATTTCAGCTTATGAAAGGTTTCACAGGGCCCACCGGAGTGGCGCAGTTGATGGAGCATCATCCCATGCACTTAAAGGTTACCAGTTCGATTTCCCATCAGGACACATACCTGGGAGCGTACAGAAGGCGACCGGTTGATGTTTCTCAGTCACATCAGTGACTCTCTTCCCCCCTTCCTCTCTCTAAGCATGTCCTCTGGTGAGGATTTTTTTTTTAAGAAGGGTTTCACAGGAACACTCTACTTTCGAATAGTGGGGGGAGGGGGCCAGATCCCGTCATTTGTTGCACAGCAGTGGAAAATTATTATAGCAATGGATTTGTCCTTTTGTCAAGCAACAATTTACTTGATTGGCAACACCTGGAAGCCACTCAACAGGCGACAAGAAGAAAGCGGAAGGAAACAAAAGTGATGGTGGCTATAGCTGAGAAAGCAGATTTCAAAACTGAATACAGTGTGACCTGGCTACACACACACTACCAGGGACAATGAAGAGGGCAAAGTGCACAGTCAGGTTCAGGTCTGAAAGACTGTGTCATCTTTAACAAGATGCAGGTGTCAGGGACCAGCTGTGAAATGGGATAACAAAGCCCTGGCTAGCAGGATTAAATGAGCATGTGCAGAGCGCACAGCACAGAGAAGTCAGATAACTCGAGTGATGACAGGAAATGTCTACAGGGCTATCCTTGCACCAGCGAGGCTGCAGCAACTTTGGTTTACTTCGCTATATTACCCAAATTTTATATCATGGACATATTTGATTTCCTTAATTGAGGGGTGAGAAGGGGAAGGAAAAAGCTGAGTGATGTTCTACAAAACAACTGACCTGTACTTTTTTTTCCTTCAGATTTTTAATTGAGTCTTAGAGAGAGAAGAAGGGAGAGGGAGAGAGAGAAAGAGAGAAAAATATCGATGTGAGAGCAAAAAATCCATCAGCTGCCGACCGGGAATTGAGCCCACAACCCAGGCATATGCCCTGCCTGGGAATCGAGCTGGCAGCCTTTCAGTGCACAGGAGGAGCCCAAGCAACTGAGCCACACCAGCCAGGGCTGGCCTGTACACTTCAAAAATGCCAAGGTCTTGAAAAACAAAGAAAGGCTGAGATGGTTTCAGATTTAAGAAGACCAAAGGGACCCGACAGCCAAATGTGAGGAGCGATCTCAGTTTATTTTGACAAGAGACCTCGGAAGTGGACGGCATATCAGATGATAGTCTTGCACCACCGCAGCTGTGCGTGAATGTGGCAACGGTACTGTGGTTGTGTAAGAGATGTCATTTTTCTGAGGGGATACATGTTGAAATATTTAAGGGTGAAGGGTCATGACCTATGTAACTCACTCTCAGATTGTTCAGAAAAAAAAATGTGTGTGTGTGTGTGTAAGAGAGAGAAAGCAAATATGCCAAAATATTAACTATTGGTGAATCTGAATGAAGGGTGTATGACTGGTTATTGCAACTTTTCTGAAGGTTTCATAATTGTCAAAAACAAAGAGTCCTAGCCGGTTTGGATCAGTGGCTAGAGCATCCATCCGCTTGCAGACTGAAGGGTCCGGGGTTCGATTCTGGCCAAGGACACATACCTCAGTTGCAGGTTTGATCCCCGGAACCGGGTCCGGGCTCATGGGGGGTGGTCAACCAATCGATGTGTCTCTCTCACATCAATGTTTCTCTATCTCTCTTTCCCCCTCCCTTCCACTCTCTCCGAAAAGCAATGGAAAAAATATCCCCAGGTGAGAATTAAAAATAAAAAGAAAGAAAGGCTGTTAACAAGATACCCCTCCTTCAGGCACCATGTGGCCTGGTCCAATATTACATTTAGGGCCTCATGACCCAGCAGAACCAAAGTCTATCTATAGTCAATCAATCAATCAATCAATCAGTTATATTCTGTTCACATGTTGGAACACGGGGCAGCAGTGAACGAACGTGAATAAACTGTGGACTCCAGCAACCAGATGGACAGCCAGACACAGAAGCAAGATTCATTTATATAATAAACAACAACCCCGGGCAAAATAAACACATGGCGTTTGGGGCTGCGTACGGATGGTCAACCGCAGAGAAAGTCAAGGGAGTGTTACCACAAAGGTCAGCGTTGTGCTTACCTGGGCGGGGTCACCTGGAGGGACACATCTGCCGGGACTCACTTCAGAGTTCCCCAAGTAGACACGGTACATTTATGTCGTACGCGCACATGGCAGCTGGATGTCCCACCGGGAACCCCACTCTGTGCGAGGTGAGCGCTGAGCCCCTGGGACCCGCCTCTGCGTGGCGCTGGCAGCCCCGGGGCGGCCGGGAGGGGCCGGGGGC